CGAAACAGTTTTTGTGAACCAAATGTTTGCCATCCCTTTCATAGCAGATATCCATTGCCGGACATGTCATTGAAATGTGTTGACCACAGACTCGGCATTTAGTGGTCATTGCGATCGTAATTCAAACCAGTGTTGTATCGCGAGCTCTATTCACATGTTTTCGATACTAGTATTTCCTTCACAATGAGTGCGAGAATTAAATCAAAGTATAAAATGTATTGTAAATGATATGTTTTGCACTTTTATTACAAGATCTGATCTTTCATTTCTCTTCACATAAATCATTAAATTTTCAAAAATTAATTTTAAATACAATTTTTATTAAATTTAATACCATTGAATGCAATTTGTTTGCAAAACTTAATTTTCATATATTTGTCTCGAAATGAATTAAAAATTCTTTTGACAGAAATTTGAATTTTTAATATCATATTGACATCAGTTTGTGTCTCATTTGCTGAAGAGATACAGCGCACCAATGATGACCAGGACGGCGAAGGCTGACAAGGCGTACAAACCCATGCGATTGCCATTCCCTCCCTCAGGTTGTTGGTCTCCAGCGCCTCCTAAACCTTCTGGTCGATCTGCTCGCTCTACGGGTGTCTCTTCTATTACGATGGGAGGCGGCGGAGGCGTCACCACTGGGGGCTCAAACACAGCCGACGACTCATCAGGTGCTAGTTCTGGTGTTGACTCTGATGTTGCCTCTGGTGTTGCCTCTGGTTTGAACTCTTCAGTCATGGGCTCGTCTTTCGGTATTTCCGGTTCGTCTGGTTTTTCAGTTTCTATCGGTTTGTCCATTGAATCCGATTTCTCGGGTTTAGACTCAGTTTTCTCTTCATCTTTCGGTTCTTTGTGAGCGAAGGGCACGACTTTTCCCTTCAGTTTCGGTGACTCTGTCTTCTCCTCTTTCTTGTCGTCAGAGCTCTTCGACTCTTTTGATTCCATCTTTGATCCGGTCTTTGACTCGTCGCTCGAACTTATCTTTGAGTCGTATTTGGTGGCCGTCGTCGATGACGTACTGCTCTTTGAGCCCATTTTGCTGCCGACCGACGGCTCCGACACGATCTCCGTCTTCGCCGCCGCCGTAATGAACATTTGCTCGCGAAGGAACCGTATGTAATCATCCACTCTCGGCCGCGGATTTGAGTCACAGGCAAACGGCACCAAATGCATCATGTACTGACCCGTGAGCTCCACCACATAGACCGGCATATTGAAGACGACGGAGGCGCCCGACTCGACCACAACGCACCCGTTGGCGCCCACCACCAGCAAGTAGTCCTTCTGCTGTCGGCCCACTCTCACCATCAGCTGTCTATCCTTTTTGAATTTGTATGCTTTCCCGTCAGCGACGGGCGATTTGGACGAATGCATGGAAACGCCGCCTCCAATGGTGGCGAACCCCTCCTTCGGAATGGTGTGTATAACGGGTCCGCAGAATAGCTTTTTGTCGGACTTTCCGATGTAAAAGAGTTTTCGGTCATCTGTTTCTTCAATAGTTTCGAGGGCTCTGTCGGCGATCTGTTGGACTTCGAACGGAGTGGCGATTCGTTTGACGGTCTGGTCTTTGGCCGCTTTCACGGCATCCTCTTTGGGCTTAACTGTCGACACAATGCCGCCCGAAGCCTCCACTTTGGTCTCAATATTTCTTAATTTCAACGGTTTTTTGAATGTTTCCTTTGATTTCTCGATCTTTTCCGGATCTGGAATCGACTTCAACGTAATGGCCATCACTTTCTCTATAGCTCACTGTCTTATACTATGATTGATGTCTGTCTGTATGTCCTGTCTGTCTATGCGCTGAATATAAGTTTAAAATTTGAATCAAAAACAGTTATAACTTTCGCGAGAGTTTTACCGTATGTTTAGTTCTGTATTTGTATATGAATTCAATGCTTGTGAAGCTATTCATAGTTTATTAGTTTGAATTATTTCGTTAGTATAGCTATATTACCGGTAATAATAAGACATCAAAAGATATTTATTGATCTATTGGATCCAATCGAGTGATGCCTTCGATTACACTGAAAGAGCCGACAGAACCGGAAACAGAAGAAAGCAAGAAGAATGAGATCTCAAAGGCTGAGGCCATGAAGAAAGAGATCCAAAAGAATGAGAACCTGAAGAATGAGATCCCAAAGGCTGAGGCTCTGATTAAAGAGATCCAGAAGAATGTGGTCAAAGAGAGTCCTAAGAAAAGCAAAAACGACGGCAAAAAACAATCGCAAAACAAATAAGAGTTTGATTTCCGTTAAATGATTTCAGTTTTCAAATCCCATCGATTGCATACCGACGAGCGCCAGGATGACAGTGAGTAGAGGTGCGGCCGGAAACGTCTGGTACGACAGATGGATATTGGACTCCAGTGTCTGCATGAGTTGGGCCACGAAGACGAACACCTGGTGGTGACTATACCTCAACAGCATTGATATGGAGAGCGTGAAGACCAACATTATGAAGGCGGCCGCGATATACGAGGCCCTCGTCATCCAGATGTTCACGAACCGGTAGTGTTCGCCAGTGATTACGTTCCGCACGTATCCCCTGTTGTTCTCCTTTTCGGCCAAATTCTTCAGACTACCCATCAGTATGTCGTCATAGCCTAAGAAGTTGGACAGTAGTGTCCGCGAGAACACGTCGCCGAAGCACCGGTTGTCGCGCGGGTCCAGAGTTACCACTTTAATGGGGATTTGGAGCCGTTGTCGGGCCCGAGCGGACAGCCGTAGGAAACCGTATTCCAGTGAATACTCAACGATATAACTCTCGTGCGGCCACACTATAGGCATACAAATGATTCATACATTTAATATACACTCAATTCAATAGTCATATGGTATGTGGCATTACCTGCCCGTGCAATCATCTGCAGGTGCGACACCTTATCCTTGAGTGGTTGTGGATAACCATTGTTTTCATTATTATTATTGATTTGATTGCTGTAATCAACGAGATCTTTGACTGCAATACCACTCAGATTAGTGTAATAGTCATTATCTTTCGCCGCAATATGACCGCCGTTTGGATCAGACACTCCCTCACCATTACTATCACTAATTGGTTCCAAGTGTTCATTAGTTGTCAGGTCTTTATCCATAGTCTTGTCAGTCAACGCCTGCTCTTCACTATTAACACTAAACTCGAAACCAATGGTCGAGTTCTTACTGTCGGCGAGAATGTCATTGTCAGCCATCGGGCGCTCATCACTGGTGCCGGCGTTCATGTGGTGGTCGTGCGGGTCGTTGAGTATCTGCACGCGAAGTATGCCATCGCGGGGCCACTCGTTCTGGATGTGATCCAAACAGTGAATGGGTGTCCGTATGAACGAGAGGTGCAGGTGACAGAGCACGGCGAGGGACAGGAGGGCCGTCACCAGCACTGACCACTCGATGAGTTTGCGCAGAGCTGTGGGCACTGACAGCGCGTACACCACCGCTATCTTGAAGAAGAGCACCCGAAAGAGTCGCGCTCTGATCCGCACCAGCGATACGTCCTGTGGCTCATCGTTGTTGTTGTTATTGATGTTTATGTTATTGATATTAATGGCGATATTGTTGTCGATGTTGGCGCCGTGGCCTCCATGGCCTCCCTGTCCGATCACTATGCGGATGATCCGCGGGAAGGCCGCAGCCATTAGGGGCGCACCAATCAGTCGGTTCAGTGACATCTGAGCCCCAAATACACACCACTTATCACTCACGAGGAGTGATAATCGTTACCATTAATCGGATTTTATTCAATGTATGCCTTAAAAGTCATTTCAGTGTCTCGTGAGTGAGATAATAGTGATTAAAGAACCAATCAATTGACAATCAAAACCGCAATCGATTTGTTGTCACAAATAAAACACAAAAATATAAATGACTTATAATTAGTTAAAAATATAATATAATATAAAATCTAAAACACAATTCAATAATGAAAACAAACAAATGGTTGAAACAGTGGTTGAATTGCACTCATATACTGATGACTCGTTGTATTAATATAATTAATAATTTACTTAAATATCAAGCATTCAATTGACAGTTAATTTGTTGTCTATAGAGATATGATGAGTGACTTGAAATAGATTTGAGGCCTAAATGTGTGTCCAATGGTCGCACACTTACGGTGAGTGCGTTGAGTGCTAATTGTGTGTCCAATTGAATGCAGAGCTAATTGTGGTTGAAATGCACTCACAATCAAAACACTGGTTTAAACGCCATTTAATACGCTTTTGCACTGATTTGTATTGACTGATAATCACATGACTGCACACTTCGCACACTATTACGACATATGTGGACATTCCCTATGCATTACACCCGCTATCAGTGTAACGCTTTATATTAATTTAGTAAATGTTTGGTATAAAAGTGCGCTCAATATTATAGAGAATTGTAAACAAAGTATGTGACATAAAAAGCATACCAATAAAACCCTTAATAGTTTTGCATTAATAAGTTTGGGGGGCTTAACATTGTGTGTAATGTGTGTTATGATTGATATAATTGAATGAATGTTGAATGAGTGGTTGTATTAATATTTATGTAGAAGTTTGTCATTAATTGTAAGTTTTATTTTCCACAAGAATTTGTTTAAAAGTCTGTATAATAATTTGTTCATACAAAAAACTTTTTAAAACTTTTGTCTCTTTAATTGAAATGTCATTTAAATGAATAAACAATTAATGCATAAATTAAATATAACTTATATGATATGACTGTTAATTGTATTGCAAAATGATTAAATAGGTATCACCTAGTATCACATAGGTATCACATTTGGACAATCGCGAAAGATTTAATAACTTATTTCTATAATTTTATTACAATCATTGTAATGATAAGATTACATTTTAAACTTTATGAAAATTTGGGATTTACAGTACTTTATACTACTGTATATGCTAATATGATATATTTCATGAAACATAATAGCCCCTATAATTAACTTATAATCTCATGATAATGATATTATATCATAATACGGGCTCTATATTTGTCACAAACAAACCAAACATTTGTTATTTAAACATTGTTTGAACAGGTAGAAACTTATCTAGAAAACAAATTTATTTATTAAACTCAAAAGTGAAACAACATTTCGTAAAATATGAGCAAATTATTAATGCTATCACTAGTAATCGTGACTATAGTTTGTTGCAGTGAATGGTCAGTACATGTGGTGAGCGGTCAGTGTCTGTGTTGTAGGCGTTTGGGGGGCCGTTACTGCGGGTCAGACCTCAACCTAAACAACAACTGCCGATTCAATAGCTATTGTCCGCCAAATGTGATCTATTGGTGCGAATCGACGTACAACTACTCCCGACCGGTCAGGGAATGCCTTCCCTCTGATGGCCCCTGTGTTCAGGTGGAGAAGGGGTCGGCCCGGTGTCAGAGGCCATGAGATTCAGTATAGTATAGCATATGTATAGCAATGATTCATAGATTACCACAATTATAGTGATTGAATAAAATCACTGAATATATTGTCACTTTGTATTTCCAGAATTTTTATATCAGTTACAAATATCTCAAAATAATTTAATTATAAAATCTAATAAAACTTGAACATTATGATAAAGTAAGACGAATGTGTTTTTTAATTAAAAATAGCAATTAGCCAGTTCAAATAAAATGTGCAAATATGTCAAAACAAACTATTCATTCATCCACTCCGAGGCCTCAATTTGGTTGATATTAAAGCGTTTGATTGAGTCCTCGCAACACATGTTTAAAATCAATTGCCGGACACTTTGCGATACTTTAACATCACTTTTAAATTCCAGTGATTTTTGCTTTACTTCTTGTAAATCTGAGACTTCTTTTGAATTGTAGGGAAAGCATCCGAACAGCAAAACGTATAAAAGGATTCCCAGACTATAGATATCACTCTTGAAGGCGTTGTAGTCGTTATTGGAGTTGGATATGACTTCTGGTGCCATATAAATACTGGTTCCCAGATGACTACCACAAAGGATCTCTCTATTAATGTCCAGCAGTCTTGAGAAACCAAAGTCTATATACTTGAGCACAACATCCCGATCACCGGGTGATGCCTTTGATATCAGAATATTCTCGAGTTTGATATCCCGGTGCACTATTGCCAGACTGTGTAAAAACTTGAGCCCTTCCACCAACTGTTTGAATAAAAATCTACAAATACTCTCATCGAAAGGATAGTTATTATCAAAATATTTGGCAAACTCTTGGCCATTAATATACTCCATGAGAATCCATGTCTGAGTTTTGTTTGAATTGTCTAAAACATTGAAGAATTTAATTATGTTTTTATGTGACTTTCCCAACAGAACCTGAATTACAGCTAATTCTTGATTTCTGAGCCGTTCTTTGATAATGTTATGGTCATTGACTTTGAGGGCAGCTCTTGTGGACTTATATGTCACCGAAAATACGTTAGAAAAACCACCCGTTCCTATACACGTGCCAAACACTATATCATTTGCTTTTGCATGTCTGATATCATTGACTGTAATTGTGATTTGACTCAAAATTCTGACATTTCTGGCGGGATTTGATTCAATGACAGTAACTGACAAAAACTGACTACTAGTACTCAATTTAATAGTGGATTTAATACAACTTGTATTTGATTTCGGCTTTAATTGACTGTCGATCTCGGATGCTAAGGCCATCGCACCGTTACATTCACTTGAAACCAAAATAACATTTGTTTCAAACCGATTGTTTGCCAAATCTTTATTTAAAATTTACAAATCTATTTATATTTTATTTGTACCGCGCTAATAATAACAAAACAATAGGCACGGAAGCATTAGTCTACTTTTCAAATGAATTCATTGTATAACTATCGGTTAGACAATAAGTGATATAAAATTAGTGAATTTATGAAAATTATGTCAAAACTGTTGCTATCAATGAGTATAATAGTGATGAAGGAGTGGACGGGTGTTCTGTCACAGAATGGAGATACAGATGAATATTATGCCATAATAGCGGCGGGAGTTTTGTTGGGAGTGTTCATCATAATTATGATAATCCTATTACTGGTGTTTTGTTATACCGTCTCCAATATGTATCAAAAGAAATATAAAACCAAAGCCAAGAAAAGGAGCGCAAAATTTGGAGACTTGGACTCAAAACTCAAACTCAAAGTAAAAGTGGACGACATGTCAGACACTAATGTTCAACAGAATCCACACTTAGGCGCAAATGAAACGAATGCCACGAATTGAGACCAGAATATCAATAATTTATACTATTTTATGTTTTACAGAATTGTTACTATTTATGAATAAATTTTAATTTAAGTATAAACCTTTAATTATACTTTAACCATGGGGAGGGAGAGGGAGAGGGATAGGGAATTTCTAATTATTAATCCCTAAACTGAGCCTTGATTTCTAGATTTGAACTTAAAATTGTGAGTATTTCTCAACTGCTTATTACATGTCATGTTAATCCATACAACCTTTGCAATTATTAATCAATAATAAATATAATTTTAGTTTTAGTTTTCTATTTGAAAAATAAAATTATGAATTGAGTTAAGAGCTCTTCCCAAAGATTTTTAATTGTATTTTAGATACTTTTGTATTTAAAATTGTGTGATCATTGATATTTTCAAGTGTTTTGTATAGAGATTGGAAATAATACCGAAAAATATCTTTTAATCTCAAAGAAATCAATAATTTGACAGTTTATCACATTTCAGATATAATTTCATATAAAAAGGGATTTGAAAACTGAAATCATTTAACGGAAATCAAACTCTTATTTGTTTTGCGATTGTTTTTTGCCGTCGTTTTTGCTTTTCTTAGGACTCTCTTTGACCACATTCTTCTGGATCTCTTTAATCAGGGGCTCACCCTTTGGGATCTCATTCAGGTTCTCATTCTTCTGGAGCTCTTTCTTGAGGGCCTCAGCCTTTGGGATCTCATTCTTCAGGTTCTCGTCCTTCTGGATCTCTTTCTTCATGGCCTCAGCCTTTGGGATCTCATTCTTCAGGTTCTCGTCCTTCTGGATCTCTTTCTTCATGGCCTCAGCCTTTGGGATCTCATTCTTCTTGCTTTCTTCTGTTTCCGGTTCTGTCGGCTCTTTCAGTGTAATCGAAGGCATCACTCGATTGGATCCAATAAATCAATAAATATCTTTTGATGTCTTATTATTACCGGTAATATAGCTATACTAACGAAATAATTCAAACTAATAAACAATGAATAGCTTCACAAGCATTGAATTCATATACAAATACAGAACTAAACATACGGTAAAACTCTCGCAAAAGTTATAACTGTTTTTAATTCAAATTTTAAACATTCAGCGCATAGACAGACAGGACATACAGACAGACATCAATCATAGTATAAGACAGTGAGCTATAGAGAAAGTGATGGCCATTACGTTGAAGTCGATTCCAGATCCGGAAAAGATCGAGAAATCGAAGGAAACATTCAAAAAACCGTTGAAATTAAGAAATATTGAGACCAAAGAGGAGACTTCGGGCGGCATTGTGTCGACAGTTAAGCCCAAAGAGGAGGCCGTGAAGGCGGCCAAAGACCAGACCGTCAAACGAATCGCCACTCCGTTCGAAGTCCAACAGATCGCCGACAGAGCCCTCGAAACCATTGAGGAAAAAGATGGCCGAAAACTCTATTACATCGGAAAGTCCGACAAAAAGCTATTCTGCGGACCCGTTATAGACACCATTCCGACGAAGGGGTTCGCCACCATTGGAGGCGGCGTTTCCATGCGTTCATCCAAATCGCCCGTCGCTGAAGGGAAAGCATACAAATTCAAAAAGGATAGACAGCTGATGGTGAGAGTGGGCCGACAGCAGAAGGACTACTTGCTGGTGGTGGGCGCCAACGGGTGCGTTGTGGTCGAGTCGAACGCCTCCGTTGTCTTCAATATGCCGGTCTATGTGGTGGAGCTCACGGGTCAGTACTACTACGTAAACCACGGCAAACGGACACTGAGTTTAGGCGCCGGCTCTCACCTACTAATGTATGCCAAGGAAGCGCTCGTTTTGTTCATTACGGCGGCGGCGAAGACGGAGATCGTGTCGGAGCCGTTGGTCGGCAGCAAAATGGGCTCAAAGAGCAGTACGTCATCGATGACGGCCACCAAATCCGACTCAAAGATAAGTTCGAGCGACGAGTCAAAGACCGGATCAAAGATGGAATCAAAAGAGTCGAAGAGCTCTGACGACAAGAAAGAGGAGAAG